GAAATTTCCATAGAGGAAATTTGGAGAACAATGTTTTCCTTAGAGGAAATTTGTGGTCTTGAATTTTCCCTCAAGGAAAAGTGTTTGTCAAAAATTTCCTCACAGGAAATTGCTGTTGACAAAAATTCCTCACAGGAAAAAGTATTTCCTCAAAGGAAAATTTGAAGCTGCAAATTTCCTCACAGGAAAAAGTATTTCCTCAGGAAAATTTGAAGCCTCAAATTTCCTCAGAGGAAATAGAATTTCCTCAAAGGAAAATTTGAAGCCACAAATTTCCTCACAGGAAATAGAATTTCCTCAAAGGAAATATTAATGCAGCAAATTCCCTAAGGGAAATCTTTTTCCCTTGAGGAAAATACAATTTCCCTTAAGGAAAAATCTTTTTCCTTCAGGGAAATTTGATTTCCCTTGAGGAAAACTACTTTTCCTCTGAGGAAATTGTTGAAAAAAGGGGCATAACTTTTTCAACAGTGGTGCTAAAGCCAAAATTTTTTAGGACAAATATCAGGGAACCAATACCAACCAAGTTATCAACTTCATTTTGACTTAACTCCAAAAATTAAGGTGACAACTTTTGCACTCAGCGGAAGTGCAAACTTGTCCCGGAGACTGTTCTCTGCTTTTTATTTAGCACCCCGATCTCTAAGTGTTTTTAATACCTTTAGTGGAAAGTTATCTCCAGGAAACTGATGTGTACAATGGGAAAGTCACGATATTTATAGGGACGAAGAGCGTAGTGACAACGAAGTGGAGTCGTTTTTCGATCGTAGTAGACACATAATGAAATCGTAATGCGATCGGGAAGGTTTTGAAAGAAGCAATCAGAGATCGTGTAAGTCGTGGTAAGGTCTTATTAGACGCAACAAGAGCGTGACAAGATAGTAACTATAGAACGTGTTACTGTCGTAGCGAAATCGTAGCAGTATCTTATCAGGATCATAGCAAGATCGCAGTATCAACGTGAAAACTATGAAATAAATTAATGAATATTCAAGCCAACCATACCATGATCTCACTGCAACCTTATCTATTTTAGTTAGTAAATCACTCAAGTATGAGGTCAACTCCTTATTCATGGTCTTGGTCTAGTGTGATGGGGGCTTTACATCCACTTCATGGTGAACTTTGGTGGACATCTGTCTCATTGGCAGTCAATCCACATCCCTTTTTTTCATTTTTTGACAACAAATTTTGATTCACGCTCAATAAAATGATGATTTTCCCGGGTTCCTGGCTCATTTTTTGGTAATTTCACGTGTCCCGCCCGACTTTATTTCCCGTTTTCAAGGACAATAATTTGACTTTTACGTGTCACGCTTAAAAAAATCGGCCAATCCCGCGTCACGCTTAGACCCCAATGAGACCCACTATGAAGGCAAATCCATAAAACTGCTTTGAACCAATAAATTTTTCAAGTTTTATTTTTTTTCAATAAAACACAAACAATTAAAAATCATATGGCACTATCTTTTAATTATTTAATCATTAATCAATATATATATGAATTATGAACATTTGTATGTAACTTGAAAATAAATAATGCAACACCTTTGATTGTTCTGGTGCAAAACAAAAACCATTCATATTTAGAAAATCCTCATGAAATCACAATCATTGCAGCAACCATCATAAAAAAAATGTAATATAATTACACAGTTGTCTATTTAAGTAGTTCTCTACTCTGTTTCAAAATAACATTCAAGCTTGATACAGCTCTGAATTTGGATTGTGATTAAATATTTGACACAGCATAGGTTTCTGACACAGAATGAATGTGGTCTAAGAACTTAAAATTTTTTAATATACCTTTTATGGTCCAATATCCAAAATCTAAATACATGGTTAGATTCAGCATATCAAAGAATCCAAAGAATTCAATTTTTGATGAAATCAAACAAAGTTTAATTTTGGACCCTTTTGACCTCAATGTGGACCAATTTGATAATGGGGCCCAAAAATCAAAATACATGGTTAGATTCAGCATATCAAAGAAACCCATATATTCAATTTTTGTTGAAATCAAACAAAGTTTAATTTTGGACCCCAACTTAGACCAACTTGAAAACTGGGCCCATAATAAAAAATCTAAACACATGTTTAGATTCAGCATATCAAAGAACCCCAAGAATTCAATTTTTGTTAAAATCAAACTAAGTTTAATTTTGGACCCTTTGGACCTTAATGTAGACCAACTTAAAAAACGGGACCCAAAATTAAAAATCTAAATACACGGTTAGATTTGGCATATCAAAGAACCCCAATAATTCAATTTTTGATGAAATCAAACAAAAAAAAAAAGTTTAATTTTGGACCCTTTTGACCTCAATATGAACTAATTTGATAGCGGGGCCCACAAATAAAAAATCTAAATACATGGTTAGATTCAGCATATCAAAGAAACCCATATATTCAATTTTTGTTGAAATCAAACAAAGTTTAATTTTGGACCCCAATTTGGACCAACTTGAAAACTGGGCCCAAAATCAATAAAATGCTCCGCTGGGCGCAGCTTGATACGACCGCAGAGGTCGAACCCTGAACAGTTGGGGCAAGTATGGACACAACATTCAAGCTTGATACAGCACTGAATTTGGATTGTGATTAAATATTTGACACAGCATAGGTTTCTGACACAGAATGAATGTGGTCTAAGAACTTAAAAATTTTTAATTTACCTATTCAAACCATATCATTATTATTTGCTTTTATATATAAATCAGAAATAACCAATTTAAAATGGAAAATTTCAAAGAAAAAAAAATCCCTCCCCCAAATTTTTTGAACCCCCTTATGATTCATCACCCCCAAACTCAATCCCAGCCTTCCCTTTGTGGTATGGTACCTTGCAGTACAATTTCAGAGAGATCCATACACTTGAACACAAGTTATTGTCTGGAAACTAGAAAAATGCTTGTTTTTAGGCCCCTTTTTGGCCCCAAATTCCTAAACGTTTAGGGCAATTACCCCCAAACTCAAACCCAGCTTTCCCTTTGTGATATGGAACCTTGTAGTACAACTTCATAAAGATCCATACACTTACACACAAGTTATTATCCTGAAATTAGAAAAATGCTTGTTTTTTGGCCCCTAATTCCCAAAATCAATCCCAGCCTTCCCTTTGTGGTATGGTACCTTGCAGTACAATTTCAGAGAGATCCATACACTTGAACACAAGTTATTGTCTGGAAACTAGAAACATGCTTATTTTTGGCCCCTTATTCCTAAACGTTTCGGGCAATTACCCCCAAACTCAATTCCAGCTTTCCCTTTGTGATATGGAACCTCTTAGTACAATTTCAGAAAGATCCATACACTTTCACACAAGTTATTGTCATGAAACTAGAAAAATGCTTGTTTTTTGCCCCTTTTTTTGGCCCCTAATTCCTGAAATTTTGAAGGAATTACCCCCAAAATCAATCCCAGCATTCCCTTTGTGATATGGAACCTTGTGGTACAATGTCAGAGAGATCCATACACTAATACACAAGTTATGTCTGGAAGTTACAAAAATGCTTATTTATGGCCCCTTTTGGGCCCCTAATTCCCTAACTGTTGGTACCATAACCCCCAAAATCAATCCCAACCTTCCTTTTGTGGTATTAAACCTTATGGTAAAATTTCATAGAGATCCATTCACTTAAACTAAAGTTAGAGTGCGAAAACCAATGTGTCTTCGGACGACGACGACGCCAACGTCATACCAATATACGACCACAAAATTTTTTTTGCGGTTGTATAAAAATCTAAATACATGTTTAGATTCAGCATATCAAAGAATCCCATATATTCAATTTTTGTTAAAATCAAACTAAGTTTAATTTTGGACCCTTTGGACCTTAATGTAGACCAATTTGAAAACTGGACCCAAAATTAAAAATCTAAAAACACGGTCAGATTCAGCATAACAAATAAATAAATGTGGTCAAAGATTTTACAAATCTAATGTGCCATACTGTGCAATTAAAGATTACTTCTTGAAATTTTTCAGTATAGAAATTTGAAAAAAAATGATATTTGAAGAATAATTCTTTTTAATTTCATTTCAGAAATGAGAAAAAATTGACCTCCCACAATTTCTTTTTAACCCCCCCCCCCCCCCTCCCCCATTTTCCCCAAAAAAATTCTTTCCCTCAAGATATGGTCATAATCTCAATTAAAATTTCCAATGGAGTTTGCAACCATAATTACCCATTTAAATTTACCATAGTGCTAACTTAATCTATTTTATAATAGAATTTAAAATATGGTGTCAAATCTTTCATATGGATTTTTTTGTAAAAAAAAAAAGATGCAACATTTGCAGATATTTTTACTGGTCTTCCTTTATAAATATGCATTTCTTTAAACATAATTTAAAAGCAGTGTAAGGGAAGTAACCAAACAATTGTATTTGGATCACCTCCCTTACACTGTTTTAAATTGTCTTAATTGTTCATTAACCATTACTTTATACATAATTGAAAGCAGTGTAAGGGAGGTAATTCAAATGATGTATTTGATTTATCTCCCTTACACTGCTTTAAATTATGTTTTGTACTAAAGTATTTGTCCATTAACCAGGACAACCTTGTTTTTTCCCCCTTTTTTGCCCCTAGTTCCTAAACGGTTTGAGCCATAACCCTTTGTGGTATGGAAACTTGTGGTATAATTTCAGAGAGATCCATACACCCTTCCACAAGTTATTGTCTGGAAACTAGAAAATGCTTATTTTTGGCCCCTTTTTGGCCCTTAATTCCTTAACTGTTGGTACCATAACCCCCAAAATCAATCCCAACCTTCCTTTTGTGGTATTTAACCTTATGGTAAAATTTCATAGAGATCCATTCACTTAAACTAAAGTTATAGTGCGAAAACCAATGTGTCTTCGGACGATGACGACGACGTCAACGTCATACCAATATACGACCACAAAAATTTTTGCGGTCGTATAAAAAGCGGAAAAAAATTCAGGGTTTGTGTCCTTGTTTTCAAGATATAAGCCATTGAAGATTTGGCGGCAAATGATTCTCTCTAGATTTTTTCATACATTTTTCTTTCAAAAACTATGAGAAAATAACAAGGATTTTAAAAGATTTTCACATATGGTTTTTTAAACTTTATGTAATAAATTTATGAAAAGAAAAGTAGGGGTTAGCGGGCAAAACATTTAATGGAACTACATGGATAAAACCAGAGGATTCAATATATATAAACACAAAAAGTCAAAAACAAGAGGAGCGAACATCCTTAACACATATGATAACAATTCAATCTTTGATTCAAATTTAAAGGTGACTGATTTTGATGAAGTGACTGTAATATAATGTATTTTAGGCATCAATGGTGATTGAATCTTTGATTCAAATTCAAAAGTACTGATTCTTATGAAAGTGTAAACATTTTATACTGTCTTGCAGTCGAAACGATGAACTGTATATTATAGATTGACATACATGTCTTAAAAGATCAATCATTTACATACTATAGTAACAATTCATGAACTGTAAATGGACTAAAATCATGAATAAGAAACAAACATTTAATCAACTAATAAAGCAATGTTTATCAATAACTACTAGTTAGATCAACTAACCATAATTTGTAACATTCTGTGACAGTGTCACTATAAATATTGAACACAATTTACATATACTGTTATATATATATTATTAATATTTCATATATGAACAAATAACTTTTTTTCCTAGTGTCCATTTTTGACATTTTTATTTGCTACAGTTTAAATCAAAAGATTTTATTACGCAGATTTTCATGTTTTAACAATAAAACGTGTGCGAGTCGTCCAAAAAATGATCTCTATTACCTGCAGTCTCCAAATAATATGTGATTTAATGAGATTTCAGAAATCACTAAGAGCTGTTTCAGAATTAAATGCATGGGTGCATATTTTTTTTTAATACTCTGAGCACCAATAAATTAAAAAATTTTCATTTTAGGTATATTTCTCAAAAAATTCAATAGAGAATGAAACCAATCATAATTAATTTATTGCAGTGCCTCCCATCCCAGCATGTTTTTTAAATCTGGAACAGCTATTAGATTACAAATTAAAATATCAGTGCAAAACTTCATATAGAAAAATTTGTGAAACTTTGGTGGAATTTATAATAAATATCAAATTTGAGGCATGAAAGATGACACAAAACAACAGAAGTGGCTGTTTGTGTCATCTTTAATGCATAAAGATGATACCAGACAAAAGAAGTGAATATTTTGTGTCATCTTAAATGAATATGATGACACATGACAAAACAACAAAGGTGAATTCTTTGTGTCATCTTTAATGTATAAGACGACAAGGCAACAGAAGTGAATTATTTGTCAATATAGATTCTATGTAAGGTTACACAATTATATGTGTTGTTTTGTGATTTGTTTTTTCTAGGGTAGTACTTTCCACATTTCTATAGATACCAGAAAAAAATTGGTACATTGCAAATGCTTGCACTATAACAATACAGAAAAACAAAAAAACAAAATTTTTTGTTCCTTTCTGTCACATACAATAATACTGTCAAAATCATTAAAAAATATCATATTTTCTCATTCAATTGATAAATATCTAGTTTAAAATTTGATGTCAAGCAAACAAAATCAATTTTTTGATGATGAATAATTGACATACAGCATTAAAAAAATAATTGTAAGCTGCATTCTATATATAAATAAAATGAAGTCATGCAGAAATGTAAAAGAGAGACAAAAAATACATACATGAGCAAATATTCAAATCAACATACTGTAAATTCAGACACTATTGTGAGGTTTTTATTAATGCAAATAATGCGACTTCTTGAATATAGCAATAATAAAAACTTGCATTCTGATATCTGATACATATATCTGTAGGTAGCTTTTTCCTCAAATTGCAATAATTAAACTCGCATTTTAGTTCATTCTTCAAAAATAGCAATAATAAATGCACGCAATAGTTTCTGAATTTACAGTAGTAAATAATTGTTTCAAATAAATATGCTTAAAGGAGTTTTTTCATTTTTTTTGAAGCTTTGAAATATATTTTTTCATTTTGTAGTGAAAGATTAAAGAAGATTTCATCAATAATACCATCTTCATTACAAATGTACAAATCCAATTCAATTGTTAAATTTAAAATCACTTGTGAATTAATATTCGTGAAGCTCAATTGAATTGAGAACAGAAATAAGGAATGTGTCAAAGAGAAAATAACCAGACCAAAGAGCGGAAAACAGCCCAAGGCCACCAATGGGTCTTCAACACAGCGAGAAAATCTTTAAAAGATTGATCACACTTTTTTTCACCTTTTCACATTTAAAAAAAATAGATACTTCAATCGGCTTTAAGCCTATCTATACAATACCTAAAAAAACAATCCAGTTTACCTATCATATCAAATATGATGCATAAACTACAACTAGGGAGATTTCTTATTTATCAACCTGTCAAAATTCATTTATGCCATAACAGTGTAAAAATAATACTTTTCTGCAGTTATTAATAGTTTAATGCATACAGATGATACCAGACAAAAGAAGTGAATTTTTTGTGTCATCTTAAATGAATATGATGACACATGACAAAACAACAAAGGTGAATTCTTTGTCATCTTTAATGCATAAGACGACAAGGCAACAGAAGTGAATTATTTGTCAATATAGATTCTATGTAAGGTTACACAATTATATGTGTTGTTTTATGATTTGTTTTTTCTAGGGTAGTACTTTCCACATTTATATAGATATATGTACCAGAAAAAAATTGGTACATTGCAAATGCTAGCGCTATAACAATACAGAAAAACAAAAAAACAAAATTTTTTGTTCCTTTCTGTCACATACAATAATACTGTCAAAATCATTAAAAAATATCATATTTTCGCATTCAATTGATAAATATCTAGTTTAAAATTTGATGTCAAGCAAACAAAATCAAAATTTTTATGATGAATAATTGACATACAGCATTAATAAAATAATTGTAAGCTGCATTCTATATATAAATAAAATGAAGTCATGCAGAAATGTAAAAGAGAGACAAAAAAAACATACATGAGCACATATTCAAATCAACATACTGTAAATTCAGACACTATTGTGAGGTTTTTATTAATGCAAATAATGCGACTTCTTGAATATAGCAATAATAAGAACTTGCATTCTGATATCTGATACATATATCTGTAGGTAGCTTTTTCCTCAAATTGCAATAATTAAACTCGCATTTTAGTTCATTCTTCAAAAATAGCAATAATAAATGCATGCAATAGTTTCTGAATTTACAGTAGTAAATAATTGTTTCAAATAGATATGCTTAAAGGAGTTTTTTCATTTTTTTTTCAAGCTTTGAAATATATTTTTTCATTTTGTAGTGATAGATTAAAGAAGATTTCATTGATAATACCATCTTCATTACAAATGTACAAATCCAATTCAATTGTTAAATTTAAAATCACTTGTAAATTAATATTCGTGAAGCTCAATTGAATTGAGAACAGAAATAAGGAATGTGTCAAAGAGACAATAACCCGACCAAAGAGCAGAAAACAGCCCAGGGCCACCAACGGGTCTTCAACACAGCGAGAAAATCTTTAAGATTGATCAAACTTTTTTTTACCTTTTCACATTTAAAAAAAAAGGATACTTCAATTGGCTTTAAGCCTATCTATACAATACCTAAAAATACAATCCAGTTTACTTATCATATCAAATATGATGCATAAACTACAACTAGGGAGATTTCTTATTTATCAACCTGTCAAAATTCATTTATGCCATAACAGTGTAAAAATAATACTTTTCTGCAGTTATTAATAGTTTAATGCATACAGATGATACCAGACAAAAGAAGTGAATATTTTGTGTCATCTTAAATGAATATGATGACACATGACAAAACAACAAAGGTGAATTCTTTGTGTCATCTTTAATGCATAAGACGACAAGGCAACAGAAGTGAATTATTTGTCAATATAGATTTTATGTAAGGTTACACAATTATATGTGTTGTTTTATGATTTGTTTTTTCTAGGGTAGTACTTTCCACATTTCTATAGATATATGTACCAGAAAAAAATTGGTACATTGCAAATGCTAGCACTATAACAAAACAGAAAAACAAAAAAACAAAATTTTTTGTTCCTTTCTGTCACATACAATAATACTGTCAAAATCATTAAAAAATATCATATTTTCACATTCAATTGATAAATATCTAGTTTAAAATTTGATGTCAAGCAAACAAAATCAAATTTTTTATGATGAATAATTGACATACAGCATTAATAAAATAATTGTAAGCTGCATTCTATATATAAATAAAATGAAGTCATGCAGAAATGTAAAAGAGAGACAAAAAAAACATACATGAGCACATATTCAAATCAACATACTGTAAATTCAGACACTATTGTGAGGTTTTTATTAATGCAAATAATGCGACTTCTTGAATATAGCAATAATAAGAACTTGCATTCTGATATCTGATACATATATCTGTAGGTAGCTTTTTCCTCAAATTGCAATAATTAAACTCGCATTTTAGTTCATTCTTCAAAAATAGCAATAATAAATGCACGCAATAGTTTCTGAATTTACAGTAGTAAATAATTGTTTCAAATAAATATGCTTAAAGGAGTTTTTTCATTTTTTTTTCAAGCTTTGAAATTGTTTTTTCATTTTGTAGTGATAGATTAGAGAAGATTTCATTGATAATACCATCTTCATTACAAATGTACAAATCCAATTCAATTGTTAAATTTAAAACCACTTGTAAATTAATATTCGTGAAGCTCAATTGAATTGAGAACAGATATAAGGAATGTGTCAAAGAGACAATAACCCGACCAAATAGCAGAAAACAGCCCAAAGCCACCAATGGGTCTTCAACACAGCGAGAAAATCTTTAAAAGATTGATCACACTTTTTTTTACCTTTTCACATTTAAAAAAAATGGATACTTCAATTGGCTTTAAGCCTATCTATACAATACCTAAAAATACAATCCAGTTTACTTATCATATCAAATATGATGCATAAACTACAACTAGGGAGATTTCTTATTTATCAACCTGTCAAAATTCATTTATGCCATAACAGTGTAAAAATAATACTTTTCTACAGTTATAATCGGTAATTTCAAATTTACTTAAAAATATGATAGTATAATTGTCTGTACATATCACAGGGAAATAATTTATTTGGAAAGGAAAATTATTGAGAATTCTGTTGTAAGTTGGATACAATATCTTCTGATGCTGTCATTACTTCTCTTTCTCTTCTTCCTTTCTGGTTATTTCGGTCAAGAGCTGAAAGAAAAACATACTTCTTTTCAGATTTTATTTTTTTTAAAGTAAAAAAATATACTAAATCAATACTGTGGATTCTTTATTAATCGTGGGACACCAATTTTCGTTGATTTCAGTGTTATAATGAAACCACAAATTCAAATGTTCAACGATGAATATATTTTCAATAGGTTTGTTAACAAACTTTGGTAAAACCATTTATAAATATTTCCACGAAAATTGGTACCCACAAAAATAAATGAATCAAATAGTTTTCCACTTAAGGTGAGAGGTACGCATATGAACGCCTCTAACGGAAAACAGGAATATTTGCGTTCATTGTTATGGGAGTTATCTCACTTACACCAGAAAATATTTTCAAGATGTTGGAAGATGTTCCACCTCGTCGGAAAAATGGTCAATTCGGTGGAAAAGTATTGAATGCACCTCATCAAAATATAACAAAAAGTGTAGTAATTGTAAATGAAATGTCTTGTCCGAGTGAAACATTGCTTCCCTCCCAAGAAAAGGAAAGTAATTTGGCATGGCGTGATGGTCGAAGAGTGGTTGAGTTGGGTTTACTAGCTGACCAACTTAAAGCTTGCAGGAACTGCTATGTACCATTGTTTCTACACAACTGTTTAACAAAACAAAGATAAGGTCTCGGAAGTATTTTGTATATACCTTGTGGTAGCTGTCCCTACACAAACTTAATATTAACACTGGTAAATGGCACAGATCAGAGACCCCTTCAAAAAAAGGAATGTTGATATGGGACGTGAATATACAAAATGTAGTATGGGTAAGAATATTATAAACACAAGCATATACCGGTACACACATACTTTTGCACAATAACAATAATACATATTAAAGCTCGCACTTAAACGTTGACTTTTTTATTTGCATTTTATTTATTGAAATTCCATAGCAAATATAGTCGAAGACCTACAAAATACAGTAGCATACAAAGAAATAAATTCGTTTCTCAAAACAACTGTCAACACTGAGAGATATTCAACTCTCGACAAAATAGATGAAATACACTTTTATATGCTTAATACTGTAATTCTTGGTTTTATATTCGTGTTAGATAATCACTTTCCCACATAAATATAAACATTTGGATGTTCATACAAACAAATAAAATGCTCCGCAGGGCGCAGCTTGATACGACCGCAGAGGTCGAACCCTGAACAGTTGGGGCAAGTATGGACACAACATTCAAGCTTGATACAGCTCTGAATTTGGATTGTGATTAAATATTTGACACAGCATAGGTTTCTGACACAGAATGAATGTGGTCTAAGAACTTAAAAATTTTAAATTGGACATGCACCTATTATGGTCCAATATCCAAAATCTAAATACATGTTTAGATTCAGCATATCAAAGAACCCAAAGAATTCAATTTTTGATGAAATCAAACAAACTTTAATTTTGGACCCTTTTGACCTCAATGTGGACAAAGTTGATAACGGGGCCCAAAAATCAAAAATCTAAATACATGGTTAGATTCAGCATATCAAAGAACCCCATATATTCAATTTTTGTTGAAATCAAACAAAGTTTAATTTTGGACCCCGATTTGGACCAACTTGAAAACTGGGCCCATAATCAAAAATCTAAAAACATGTTTAGATTCAGCATATCAAAGAACCCTAAAAATTCAATTTTTGTTAAAATCAAACTAAGTTTAATTTTGGACCCTTTGGACCTTAATGTAGACCAATTTGAAGACGGAACCAAAAATTAAGAATCTAAATACACGGTTAGATTCGGCATATCAAAGAACCCCAATAATTCAATTTTTGATGAAATCAAACAAAGTTAAATTTTGGACCCTTTGGACCTCAATGTGGACCAATTTAAAAACGGGGCTCAAAATCCAAAAACTTAATACACGGTTAGATTCAGCATATTAAAGAACCCAAAGAATTCAACAATAAAACCCCATTGAAATTGATCAAGAAATAAGCAATTTATACGAAGTATCTTCTTTTGCACAATACTGTGCAATTGAAGATTTCTTGCTATTGTGCAATACTGTACAATTGACAATTTCTTGCTATTGCGCAATATTGTGCTATTGGATATTTCTTGCTATTGCGCAATACTGTGCAATTGAAGATTTCTTGCTATTGCGCAATACTGTGCAATTGAAGATTTCTTGCTATTGTGCAAAACTGTGCAATTGAAAATTTCTTGCTATTGCACAATACTTATTATATAATAATTTACACATCCTGTTTGGTGTGTATCTCCTACCATATCATTATTATTTGCTTTTAAATATTAATCAGAAATAACCAACTTAAATTGGAAAATTTTAAAAGAAAAAAAAAAGGAAAAAAGAAAAAAAAAAAAATCCCCCCCCAAAATATTTTGAACCCCCTTATGATTCATCACCCCCAAACTCAATCCCAGCCTTCCCTTTGTGGTATGGTACCTTGCAGTACAATTTCAGAGAGATCCATACACTTGATAACAAGTTATTGTCTGGAAACTAGAAAAATGCTTATTTTTGGCCCCTAATTCCTAAACGTTTCGAGCAATTACCCCCAAACTCAATTCCAGCTTTCCCTTTGTGATATGGAACCTTGTAGTACAATTTCAGAAATATCCAAACACTTACACACAAGTTATTGTCATGAAACTAGAAAAATGCTTGTTTTTTGCCCCTTTTTTGGCCCCTAATTCCTAAAATTTTGAGGCAATAGACCCCAAAATCAATTACAGCCTTCCCTTTGTGATATGGAACCTTGTGGTACAATGTCAGAGAGATCCATACACTTACATACAAGTTATTGTCTGGAAGTTACAAAAATGCTTATTTTTGGCCCCTAATTCCTTAACTGTTGGTACCATAACCCCCAAAATCAATCCCAACCTTCCTTTCGTGGTATTGAACCTTATGGTAAAATTTCATGGAGATCCATTCACTTAAACTAAAGTTAGAGTGCGAAAACCAATGTGTCTTCAGACGACGACGCCGGACGACGCCAGACGACAACGACGACGACGCCAACGTCATACCAATATACGACCAAAAAATTTTTAATTTTTGCGGTCGTATAAAAACCGTTGTTTGCAGTGCTTTCTTTCACGTCTGCAATATGGTCTATAAATAGAAGTGGAAAGTGCTAGTACCAAGTTTGAAAAATAAAGGATTAAAACAAATCATTTTTAATAAAAATATTGAACAAGAGTTTTAAATTGATACGTGACATGAAATTTGTGAAATATAATGTTGGAAATTACTTCAGAAGGGTAAGCAAAAGAAAAGGAAAAGAAACGTGAATGTGAATCGAAATGAGGATGAGACCTTGTGCACGTACAAATGAGAAGTAAAATGGTCTTTCAGAATGAAACAAAAATTATAAAAAAAATAAGTTTACACATTGCTTTTTAGTCAATTTGAAAGCAACATTGTGAATAATTAGTTTCAAGCACGAAAATACACGAAGGAAAAATTACAAATCCACTGCAGCATATGACAATCAAAATTATAATCAATATATGGTGCCCGTTCAACGTATTTCGCGATCTGCTTCTAAAGTAACCGGGGTTTTAAAAAGGTGGGTTAATTTTAAACAAGAGGCTGTCAGAGTGACAGCAAACCGAATTTTCCTGCAGAGGTCGAACCCTGAACAGTTGAGCAAGTATGGACACTACATTTAAGCTTAAAACAGCTCTGAATTTGGATTGTGATTGATATTTGACACAGCATAGGTTTGTGACACAAAATGAATATGGTCAAAGAACTGAAATATTTGAAATTGGACATTTAAATACCTATTATGGTCCAATATCCAAAATCTAAGTACATATTAGAATCAGCATATCAAAGAACCCCAGGAACTCAATTTTTGATGAAATCAGACAAAAGTTTAATTTAGGACCCTTTGGACCTCAATGTGGACCAATTTGATAAAGGAGACCACAATCCAAAATCTCTCAATACATGGTTAGATTCAGCATTTCAAAGAACCCCATAAATTCAATTTTTGTTGAATCAAACAAAGTTTAATTTTGGACCCTGATTTGGACCAACTTGAAAACTGGGCCCAAAAATCTAATATTTAAATACAGGTTTAGATTCAGTATTTGAAAGAACCCTATATATATTTAATTTATGTTGAAATGAAACACAGGTTAATTTTATCCATAATATTTTCTGTGCAAAGGGAAATAACTCAAACTGGATAAATAGTTCTCTAAAATAAGATATGATGCAATTTTTCAAATTATAATCAATAATATAATAACAACAACCAGTGATGACTAAGTTCTCTAAAATGAGATATGATTTAACACTCAAACATTGTTAGAATCAGAATATCAAAGAACCAAAGAGTTCAATTTTTGATGAATTTAACAAAAGTTTAATTTAGGACCCTTTGGACCTCAATGTGGTATTATCTTATTAATAATGAAAAGAAATACAGGTTTAGATTAAACATTTCAAAGAACCCTATATATATTCAATTTATGTTGAAATCAAACACAGTTTAATTTTGGACCCCGATTTGGACCAACTTGAAAAGTAGGCCCAAAATCAGAAATCTAAATATATGTTTATTAATAGACAATATAAGCTTAGTTTTTAAAGGAGTTCACTTTATCAAAAAAAAATATATAGCATTCAGAAAATTAGTTTTTACAGAATAACAAACAAACTTGCCACAAAATTCTTCAAACAATTTACCAAAGAAAAGAAGAAAAAAATCCAAAATTTTATTTATCATTAATACAATATCTTTTTAAAATCTATAAAACTTATCAGTAACAAGAAATAATTGTAACAGGATGCTGTTACGAAGTCTCCCAAACAAAGCTCCAATAAATCATCATTCCCATGGTCGCCTGACATTGGGCAAAGTCCAGTACAAATTGGTTTGTGATATGCATAAGTGATGCCTATGGATTGACCCTGTATGTCATTCAAATCTTCTTGAAATTACAAACAGGAATATACATGATTTAGGGGTGGAGATCTCGACCGTTTACAAGTTCTCAAA